AAATGCCCATCTGTTTCGGGCCTAAATCAGGTTTCTGGGTATCATATCGGCACATTCTTCTCCAGGCACAGCTGAGAAAGTTGTAAAGTTACAAAAACAGGTTATGTTCCAAAGGCACCTTGGAACCAACAAGCAGCGAGGTAAACGCACAAAAAAATCCCTGGCACTCCCTAACCAACCAACCCTAACCCTGACCAAAATGGTCCCTTGCCACTTGCAAAAAAGGACACCTTCTGTTCTCAGGGCTTCCCATAGCTAAGGAAGCAGGTATCTGGCACCTCCAAGATTGGCCTCTACCACCCTTCCTCATGTCAATGGCCAGGATCGCTACAGGAGCGCTTGAAAGAACAGACCATCAAACCCTGAGAACAAAGGCAGCCAAACTCATACCGCTGACCTCTGAAGGTTTTAGCACCTCTCTACCCACACAAAGCTTGATTGGGAAAGATTCCCTGATTTTCCATAACCCTCTGCCATCTAGAGTGACAAATTAACCTCTTTTTGGCTGTATGTGGCTTGGTTCATAGCCACTAGATATTGTATGTGTGCATTATCACAGGGTAGGGTAGTAATTGTATTCCAGGCACCCTTTAAGGCAGGGGTAGGCAACCTTTCCCCTTTAAGGGCCGAGGGACTTCAGCTCCCAAAATCCCAGGAGCTATTGGCCAACATGGGACTATTGGCCAATATGGCTGAGGCTTCTGGGAGCTGAAGTCCCTCGGCCCTTAAAGGGGAAAGGTTGCCTACCCCTGGTACAAAGGGTTAAAGCCCCCCAGCCCAGATTTCTGATCTATGTAGACAAGTATAGTCTGATCTTGTGAAGTTTCATAACTAAAGTAACTAAAGCTTTGGTTGGCATGCTTACTTGGGTTACGGAAAAATTAAAATGAATAAGACTTTTTTAACAATCACTGTATTAGACAAGCTTTATTTAGAATTTGGAACAAGTATAGAGGTAGAATTATGTCCAAATTCACGAGCTGATTCTCTCCTCAAAAAGCTATTCAAAGAAAAGAAATGAAACAAGAAACCAATTGGATAACTTATGACATACTATTGAAAAAAGATGAAACAGGTTAGCATAAATTGAAAATTCAAATAGCATTAAATGGAGAAGGTTATTTACTGGATTGGTTTAAATACAGGCAAATCCCAGAATGTTTCAAATCAGATCTCAGGACACAAGGAATTGATTTAAAACTGAATGAATTTAGCAAAATTTGGTTAGGAGACAATAAAAAAGAGATTGGCCATTTTTATAAATTACTGCTGAAGTGGGAATTAGAAGAAGAGGTAATAAAAGAAAATATGATCCATAGGGCTAAGAATTTCGGGTACCCAATAGAGTTAGAAATGTGGGAATTAGAATGGACTAAAATGTTGAAATACACAGCTTCGCAAAATATTAAAGAAAACTTTTATAAAATATATTATCGTTGGTCTATGACCCCTACGACAATTTCAAAAATATATAAAAATAAGAGTAACTTATGTTGGAAATGCGGCAAAGAACCAGGCACATTATATCATTGTCTCTGGACATGTAAAGTAGTCAAAGGCTATTGGAAAAAAGTAAATGAGATAATTAATCTTATGCTAAATAAAAAAATATGGATGCACCCAGAGATTTACTTATTAAACATGTGGGGGAGAGATTTAGATAAAATAATTTGGTAAAATTCTTTTATATCTAATGACAACTGCAAGAATAACCCTAGCTCAAAAGTGGAAATCCAAGAATATTCCAAGTGTAAAAGACTGGATAATAAAGCTTTATGATGTAATTGAAATGGATATACTTACCAAATTTTTAAAAGATAATTTGATTGAAACTGGAAATAAAGAATGGACACCAATTTTAAAATATATAAAAGACCAGTGGGGGAATTTAGGCATAATTAATTATTAAGGATAAATGAGGAAGAAACAAGAGGATAGTCTTTAGAAAATGACTATGGCATAGTTCATGGTGTAAGAATGTAAGATAGAATAATTAATTGGGAAATATAAGGGTCAAAATGAATAAAGTCAAGAGGTGAAAT